GCATAGGCACATAGAAGCAACAGATCGTGATGGAGTGGAATTTATTTTTAAGAATCATCTTAGCCAGATGTGTTGATAATGCCATGACTACATCTACCAAAAATTTCGGTACTAGTTAATGTTGAATGTTGCTTTTAAAGGACAGAGACTTGAAGGATTCTGGGAGCGTAACGAAATCTTTCCAAACGATAAAGGCGCAGTGTAAGATGTAGGTTATAGATGCATGGTATTGGTAGTTATTTAATTAAACATACTCAGATTAAGTATAACATTTAATGGTATATATATATGTTATATGTTATAGTTATTATTAGTAAATATTTGACTTGATTTACATTAAACAAACTGATTAGGACTATAAAATTTTCGATTCCTGCAGTTCCTGCGAAGTTTGAGATAACCGTTCAGTCAATGCTTCGCGTAGATTCAAATACTCGCTGCGCTTTTTCCCAGCGTTTGGTATCGGGCTATTCGTAAAAAAGGTAATTACCGTTTGCCGAATTGTTCAGATCAGATATACTTGTTTCGAGTCTATTCTCAGGTTGACGTACTTTTCAAGGCTTTTTTTGTTTATTTTTATTTTTTGTACTGCACATTCTCATCTAATGGAACTGCCGAGCATCAGTTAAGTCAAGTGAATCAATAGTAAGTAAGATAAGGTAAGTCTGATAGTTTGCTGATTATAAATTAGTGACCTTGACTCTTAAAACTAACATCGCCTACTAATACAGCACTCATAACCAGCGGGTTTTGGCATTTTGGTGTATTGGTATGATGCCCAAAACTTCGCCTGTACCTTGCCTCTGTCAGGTCAGTTTGTTGTACGGCGTGGAAACGGCTGTTTAAACTAAGGAGTATAAACGAAGGCCGAACTACCAACAGCAACGCTGCTTTGATGCATAATGACGGTGAAAACGTCAGGGCCACGTAAGGAGCGATTCAGTTTTGTTTCTGGCACAAGCAACCTTATTAGATACGAAGATTAAGAAAAGGAGTTCGGTCCTGTTGGAGAATCTGGTTGAGCATAAATCATTTACTGCAGTCTGAGAGCTTCTGATATTGAAATCGAGACTACAGATTTTGACCAAGATGCCAGCATGCAAAATTGAAGAACAAGGTAGAAGCGTATCTGCTTTCTAAGAAGAATGTTTCCTTTTAGCAAGCAGCAGTCAGTGATTTTTAGCGAAAGTGTTTAAAAGCTGCGAATGCAAGGGACATCACAAATCGAAATTATTCTGTTTATGGAAACAACTCAGGGAGATGATCTCAACAAGCGCTCACATATTAATATAATACGAGCACGAAGCATAATAAAAAGGGGAAATTTAAGTATGTAACTGTTATAAAGTTGGCCCCCTTTACACGGTCATCATTTTCGGCACTTATTTTCATGAATTGCCGTCATAATCTTGCTTTCTTCTAGGTCTGTTTGTACAGCTTGATGACCAACAGCGTGTAATCATCATTTTCATTTCCTCGAAAAGTTTAATCGTTTTTCAGTGTCAAAGTAAAGAAAGGCCAGTTACCCGACTTAGGATTAAATTTGGGATCGCTGAGTCAGACGCTCTGACGATTACTAGCCTCGGTCTAGACAGTAACACATTAAAGAACGAATGAAGACAGGAAAAGGATCGATAAATTGCTAATGTTAATGAGTGATATTTAAATATACAGATTAAGAAACTAGAATCAATTCGAGTAGAAGTCATGAATTTCATAGCCAGTTCCAAATCCCAACGAGAACTGCAAATTTTTTCAGGTCAGATTGATTCTACTTTGAACGATTGTTGCTGTTACTGATGATTGACCTGAGTTGTCAAGTTAACACTCCTTCGTGGGCAGTTCTACTAACTTCTCAAAGATGTGACTATTTAGAAGTTATACTGGATAATTGATTTACGTGACTGATATGATAATTTGAAATAAACTGCTTTTGGTAAGTTTGGTTTTTGAAGTTAAAGATTTTTCTTTTCGTCCAAGTGTTACCGTGTTGTTCATGAGTCATTCTCTTTGCCCTCCTCACGTTGTCCTGAGTCGCAATGACCTTATTCGGTTTTGAGGATGAGAGTTATATCCTTTTTCTTCGGCGGTCGCGCACTAGCAGTTGTTGCAAACCGGGGTCAAGGAGAAATACACAGATGATAAGACTGTTCAGTGTCTGATATAGCCTCAGATATAACACTTAATTGTCGTGTTTTTTGTTGGTAAACGAAAGTTTTATAAATTACGTCCTCACAAGTGATTGATCATTTTTCGTAATGGTGAAGATGCTCTGCTTTGCGGGCAGCTGTCTCTATAAATATTTCACCCACGAGCTGACCAGAATTACTTTAGGTATTAGGTTCTCGTCAGACCTACATGAAACACAGCTAACCTTGTTCTTGTCGCCGTTTGTAGAATCTTCGATGCATGCGGCTTGAAGGGCTGTATTTTGCCGCCGTCGATGTGTTATCTTAAAACATCATTAGCAAACTTGTTTATTTGTTGACTTATCGTGCAACTGTTGTTTATTGTCAGCATCAAGCGCTGGTTTTTATCAGTAAACTAAAAATATGGTAGATATTTCTGCCTATCTCTATATGAGCTTGGATCGAAGTCTGCTTTAAAAATTTTTTGTTCTTTCCATCACGGTGATACCATGGTTTTTTTTTTCAGTGTCCTGTGCGTGCTCAAATACTGCGGAGCCGTAGCTTTTAAAGACGTTTTGGGTCATTATGAGCAGGGAGATAGTGGTGTGGCTGTTTTGGTGAAAGGTGATATCAGAAACTGTTAGTAAATTGAGAATGTCATGGGTAATTTTGTTTGTCATGAGGAATGAAATGGAAAGTTTGTAACCGTAAAAATTTCGGTATCCCTTACACTTTGGTGGTTAGGGACCACTTTTTATGCTCTTTTTTTTTCAAGAAGCTTATCGCACAACGCTCCTCTGTTTCTTTGCTATCAACCACTATTTAGACACAGTATACAACAATCAGTCTGACGTGGTGATAGACCACTTCCGATCTCTCGGTTTGAACCTTATAAACATGTCATGATGATTTTTGATTGTAATCGGACGATATCTCGACAGACCGAGCGTTTTCTGTTTTTTGCTTTATTCTTCTCTGCTGTTGTTAGTGTTTGGATCCGATGTTTTACCAGAATTCTCTGTTAGAGGAGACTCTTAGGAGATACCGTTCACCTGGCTTTACGCGATAATTCATTACCTTAAGAGCATAAAATTTCACAGATGTAACTGTTTGTTTACTTTAGAGCCAGGGAACAGAATGTCCAGTGAAAACGTCGTTGAGAAGAGCAATGATACGTCTGCCACCTCGCCTGTTTCACAGGAGGTTCCAATGCCAGCTACGGTTCAGTCGGCTGTTGCCGTCGATGGAGATCAGGTAATTTGTCACCGTGGTTTTCATTAAGTTTATGTTTAACAACGTTGACATCTTCGTGGCTTGTTTTTTTTACTGTTTTGTTTTGTACCAAAAGACACTGGGTTTATTTATCCATTTTTCTGATCCGGTAGTCGTTTAGATTGTTTTAGCTAAGAAAGTCAGAAAATGTGTCCCTCTGTCCTCGTTTCCTTCGGTCGGACAAACTACTTCAAGGTCTGTAAATGTAGGATGCGACAGGGCGGAAGTGGATGAGTCGGCAGAGTCATACGGACGTTCGTTTGAATTTGTATGATTCGCAGATACCTTTCTGCACCCAGTATTTGATTTATCCCATTTTAGTGCATTTCAACCCACTCTGGTAGATCAGGAAAGTGCTGTCGTCTACAACGCATGTCCTTGACATCTGTCACCTGTCAGTATCTCACAAAGTAGTCCACTTTGCTGAATTCGTTGATCTCCACGCAAGTTGAAGAGACGGGCAATAATTCGCTAACATTGATGTCCGGAATAGAACGATGGACAGGCATTGAGCCAGGTCTCTTGAATTCAGTCGGTGCGTTTCTGCGCAGGCTTTGGACACAGATCCATAAAAAGCGATGGTCAGAGTGTGTTGTGCAGCTGCAGTTTAGCCTTAACCATTTTCATATCATTTCGTAATTGATGTATGTGCCAAGATAGACCAGTCACGCAAATTGGTTAATGACTTGCTTTCAAGAGGAGCTTGGTAGAAACCCTACCCGCGGCGTAAATTTTTTCTGGTTAGCTCTAGCTGCTTCAGCAAGAATTTACTCCGCTGTGCTTCGGTACAGCTAGTCGAAACAGAGGTAACAGATCGTTGACACTGGACAGCATGGCATTTTGGTGGGGTTTTGCCAGTAAATGCGAGACATGCGACGGTGCTGTTTGATGCTTGGGCTTTACGGCTGCAGTTGGCTTTGACCCATCTGGTGGCTGACTGAAGGTTAATATTAACTGAGAAAGTAAATTTAATTAATTAATTAAATTGACAGAACTATAAACGCTGGAACGCATCTCTATGTATCTTATGGAAATCATGAACTGAAAACGATATTTCTTTGTTGCTTAATTTAGTGTACAAAGACATGCTAGTTCGTTCCACCATTTCACACGTATGCACCAAACCACAGGAGAGGAGAAGTAAACTCTAATAACTTTGCTACGACATTCATTCACGATAGTTACTCCGTCATTTGCGTCCCCAAGCTTGTGTAATGGGCTTCTGATAGATGTTCAGAAAAAACTTCACTCATAAACAGCTGTTCACTGATTTGCAATTTGCTTGGTAAATCAAATGGTGAGTATATAACCACAACTCCACAAATTTTACAGCTTTTAAATCGCAGTTATGTGATTGAATAGTTATCCAATTCCTGGCTTATCGGCTTTATGCAGTCGTAGCAGTGCATAAAAAAATGTAAATCTTGGAACTTAAAATTTTTTGACACAAAACTTCATAGCATATAAGATGATTCAGGCAGTGCGTACAAAGAGACATATGCCATTAATGCAGATTCAAATTCTCGGCTGCTCAGTAAAACAATAAAGGTGACGTCAGACGACGCGCCGGTCACTGATACTTGGGCACACGACGCGCCGGTCACTGATACTTGCGAAAGTTTGAATTTGGGGGTTGGTTTTTGAAGGTTCACCTGAGGTTTTTTGTTTCACCCATGAATGCGCAAATCACCACCTTAGGCCAGCAGACGCTTCCGTGACCTGTCTGAAGCCTTTCTATGTGTGTTACAAGGAACCGTTAACACAATCAGGCGGTTAAGCTGCCGGTTTTGACTATACTGGTTGCTATTCATGAAAGTATTCTATTATACATTATATATTATATTTACGATACCCTTTCTTACAGATCGATCAAAATGTAGTTCTACAACGCTTAATTTCGATTCGTGATCAGAAGCGGAAACTGCTCGATGCCATGAATCTTCTGAAAAACGGCGATGAAGTAAGACGATGTGGATTTGCGTATCAAGCTTGAGAATCCATACGTAACGCTCATAACTTGTTTTCATTTCAGGTAAACAAAGATCAGCTGAAGAAGCTGCTCGACGCTTATGATGGTCTCAAACAGAACGAAGAGGAGTACTTGATTATCCTCA